CAGTTCCTGGGCCCGAGTGCAAACGCCCGAAGAGCTATTCATAGGTAGGAACGTATAGGGCCACGCACAGAACAGCGCAGGTCGCCTTTCCAAGCCTTGTAGCTACAACCCAGACAACCACTATCTTGGCTGGTTGCCGTGAGGTCGAATTTGGAAACCAGCGAGGCAGAAAGCGCGGACGTGAAGCATTTCAAGCCTCTTACAGAGCCCGAAGGCGGCTGCATGTCTGCTGGCTTAGGGGAAAGGTCAAAGCCCGGCTTTTCCTTCTTGGATGGAAATTTTTTAAGGGCCTACACGTGGAGAACTGTCCCCACAAAGAAAGGGTGGGTCCCCGGACAGCGCAGATCAGAGAGAGGGCCTACCCGCAGGCACACGCCCGCCTGCACACACTCGGGGTTGCCCAGACCTCGGGAGGAGGGAGCGCAGGGTCGCGACCCTTCCCTCTGCCCGAGCGCGCCCTTCGGCCCCTGCAATTAGCGCCGGGAGGTCAGCAGGAACCCGGACGCCTTTACCCGCGGCTCAAAGCACTGCAAAAGGCGACCCCACCCCCTCCCCTCCGCGGGTCTCAGACGCCAGGGCGCAGCCTGGCTTGGAGCCGGCCTTCCCGACAGGCAGGGGCCGGGGCCTCTGGCCGGCACCCGCATTTGTCACCTTAAATCTACACATCACGAGGTCGCTGGGCCCTGCAGGCTGCAGTAGCTGACCCCCGCCGGGGACCGTACGGACTGCTGCTCCCACTAGCCGTGGCCTTTGTCCCTGTAAACTCCAGAAAGGAGAGGGAAGTTGGACCCACCCGGGGTAGAATTTGAGGTGTGTGTACTGGGGAGAGGAGTACCCTTTCTCCACCCATCATGAATTCAGGTTGTTCCTGTCCGGGAGGGCTCTAGAACAGGGGTCTGTAAGAGATTTCCACACGGGGCATACGGTTCCTTGCGAGAGAATTATGAGCGTGGGTCCCCTTCACTGAATTTTCGAACGTTCTTTGGAAACCCAGAGGAGAGAAGGACTGTTTTTCTCATCTGAGGCCCAAACCGGAGTGAAAGTGATATCCCGGAAAGAGAGGACGGCTGCTTCTTCCGATGTTGGGTGGGGGAGGGGGAGGAGGAGCGCGGGCTGGGGACAGGGGGGCGGCTAGGGAAGGGGCAAAGGTGAAGCGCCCGAGCTCCGGAACCGAGGAGACGCGGGGCGGCGGCGCCCAGGGCGCACTGGTGGGCCAGACAGATAGGTGGCACTCGAAGCCCGGGAAAAGGGCGAAGGCGCCGGCCCCGAGTGGCCTCCGCGGCGGCCGCCGCCACCATAAAGCCTGCGGCGAGATTGCGACCGGCGCCAGGTGAGTAATAGCAACGAAATCCACAGAGATTGCGAGCCCTTCACCCCCCGTCCGTCAGCGCCACAAGAGTTACTCATTAACATCACTACATACAAATAAGATATCCAGGAGATTAAAAAAAGAAAAAAAGGAAAGCCAGTAGGAGAGGCTGGACACGCGCCTGGGCACCGTCCGCGGATCTAGGGGGCGGGGTGGGCGCATCTGAACCGAGAAGGAGAAGCAATTCTTGCCTCTCTGGGGCTGAGTTATCTTCTCCCCGGGCACCACCGGCCAGCTGCCACCTACTCGAGGGCGCAGACACCCGCGTGTTATCTTTGGGCCCAAATCGGCGCCATTGGGCAGCAGCGATTGCGCGCAAAGCCAGCGCCCTAGATGTGTCCCGGCCCTCCAGGGGAGCTGCCGCCCCGAGGTCCCCAGCCCTCAGCTCAGGCGCTCCGACTCGTCTTCCCTCCCACCCCAGGAGACCGCGCGGGGCAGGCGATAGGGGTCCCACGTGCCGGCCTTGCCTCCCTCTCCAAAAGGGCTCGCCCTGGATCCCCGTCCAAGTACAGGACGAGGGAGGGGAGGAGGCGTCCTCCTCGCGGGCCATTCAACAGGCCCGAAGGTGACAGGGACGTGGGGCCTGGCTGGCGGGCTCCAGGGGGTAGGGGGTGGGGGGTGGGAAGGGAGGCAGCCGCCAGGCAGGCTCCGGCTCGGTCTTCGCGTCATGGCCCCCAGGGCAAGAAAAGGCCCAAAGGACTAACCCTCGAGAACCTTCTCAGGCCGCCCCCCCTCCGCTAGACGAACACACACCTCGAGGCTAGCCCGGGGGTGGGGAGACCGAACGACTGACACCGCCTTGCCATTTTTTATTGAATGTTCCAGAGATAAATTGAACTTCAAAAGGCAACTCCCTAAACTGCCCGGGGCCTGGTTGGAGAGAATGAAGGGAGGATGTCAACCTCCTGGGTGACTTTTCCCTCGGAGGGGGTTAAATGTGCTCCCTTGCAAGGAACGCTTCCCTCCTGCCGCGCGTGACGCGGCTAAGTCTGCGCGGAGCTGGCCGCGCTTCGCACGCACGCACGACTCGGGACGGCCGGGGCCTCGCAGGGGACGGCTGAGACAGCCCGGGGACGGCTGGGACAGCCGTTGGGTCCCTGCCCGCTGCGACCCGGAGGGGGCTGCTGCCCCGCCAAGCCCGGCCTGGCCGAGAGGGGGTTCTGCTAGCCTTTTCCCGCGCCAGAAACGCTGGTGCAAGGACGTATTTTTCGACTTGGATTCCCCAGATCGCTGTCAAAAGGGAGAGCGGAGCTTAAAAACGAAAAACATTCGTCGCGCTCCAACTTATTTTTTGGTCGGATCCGTGTGGGAAAAGCTGACTTAGGGAACAGGGCTGTCTTTTTCCATTAAAACTGAAACATCCGAAATTGCTATTCTTTCCGAATTCTAATCAGGCCCTTTCCTTCTTCCGTTTTGCTCCCTAATTTAAAGGAAAAGTAATTTCGGATTGAAGCGGGCTCCCTTCGCTGGAGTAAGGGACTTTTGTTTTTAGCTTTGTAACTTGAGTGACTTCTTATTTTGGTACGCTGGGGGCGGTCTTAATTATTTAAAGGCGAATGGAAGGGGGTAGGGGTAGCAAGAAGAGACGGAACACTGCCCTAACTCTCTTCCCTGCAGGAAAAGGTTACTAAAGAAAGCATTTAACACAAGGCCCAAAGACATTTCAATAAAAATTTATTGAAATTTCAGTGATGTTTTAAAGAAGGGGGGGGAAATAATACAGAAAACCAAAGAACTCATCAACAACTATAACACAAAATATACCTTCATGAACTTTTGTCTTTAAACCATCTCTCAGCACCTGACTTTTGAACTGTCTATCACTGTAGGCACCAATTCAAAACACCATCAATATTGACAACAGTAGTAAATTAATTCCACTTTCTTTTCAGGAAAATCAGAGACAAGCAAATGTGAATACAAAAGAAAACTTTAGACAAACCATGGTCTCTACCCTCCTTCCTCCCCATAGCAACTGAGTTATGTTTTAAAGGATTTAAAGTACAGCTGGAAAGTGGCACCCCCTCCCCAATTTTGGCTAAAATAGGAAATAGCACTCTCCCCTACTTTGGGACATCAAAAAAGAAAAACAGAATTTTTGCCAGCTGCTCTTATGCAAATGTGTTGGTGTTGGTGCAGAAAGTGTGTTTTCTAGTGTGAAACAGCAATTCTGTGGCCTGGAATTAAAACCAACGAAAGGAAAACAAGAACACAAAACCCGACAGTTGCAATCCTATTTACATAGAGCTATATACAATGTCAATAAATTAAAGTTTAATTTTCCGAGCATTCATATTCCACCTATTTACAAGAGTTTATCAAATAATTACATAAATACTTTGTCTAATAGTCGCGCTTTTCTTCTTTATTATTTTTTTTTAAAACCTTGTTATTGCATATACAGGAAAAGAGAACTGCCAAAGAGGGACAACATGAATCCTGCTACACAGCTTAGATAAAATAAATTCATTTTGTGTGTGTGTGTGTTTTCCACTCTTCTTCCCTCCAAATCCTCCCTCCCTCTTGGGGTTGCCGATTTTTTGAGGACACAGGATGGGGAGAAGGGTGTGGGGTTATTATGCTGTTATCTCTCTAAAAGCAAGCATTCAAAATAAAACCCACAAATACATCACTGTGGAACATGCAAGAAGAGACCTATAGCGGCTCTTAAAACATCACAAGAATATTAAAAAGACACAGATTTCCTTAATATAGACTAAACAAGGGTGGCAGGGACTTCCCTACCCAAACAACGCTGCTCAGTAATTTATTGAGAACCGATATGCAAGTCACTATAAAATTTTTAATCTCCACAAACAGAATCATGTTAATGTATTCATTTGTCCCGATTTTTTTTTAAATTTTATTTGTTTTTGTTTCCACTTGACACTGAAGGAAAAAAAAATTATATATATATGTATAAATCCACACTGAGGGAGATAGATGCCTTTGAACAACATCTCCCCTCCTGGTGGGCTTGGCCACAGCTCCCAGACCAGCCTTGCTGGAAGTTTCTCTGGACACACATGTTTGAACTTCCACCCCCAACAGCTCAATGCAACAGACTGTTCCTGAGCCCCCGGAATCGGGGCCAGATCCCGGATACATAAACCACGCCAAGAAGACAGGGCCTTTCTCTAGTACATTCTCCCGGGGGGAGTCCGGCACCTTCCCAGACGCGACCGCAAAAGACAGGGCTCACCCCACGGCAGGCCCGTGGTTTCCATTTCACATCCGACAAAGTGCACTGCAGACTCGACTGGACTGGAACGAAGAGACCTTCTCCGGGAGGGGGTTACGGGGACGCGCTGCGAGATCTGTCCGGCTTGGCTTCCAAGCCGCTGACCAACCGCTGGATACTCTGCAGTTCGCTGGTGGCCGCCTCCTTCTCGGGGCAGAGTTTGGGCGACAAGGACACGGAGCTGGACGACAGCGTGGAGGAGCGGCTGTTCAGTTCAGAGCCCGAGTCCACGGCCACCGAGGCCGGGCTGGCCGCCAGGGCCGCGGCTTTGGCGTCCAGGGGCCCCGCGGCCGCCGCCATGGAGGGCAGGGCCGTGGTGAGCAGGCTGCCGCCGTCGGGCACGGGCACCGGGATGGAGTAGGGGCTGTAGCGCAGCCGCGGGCGCATGGTGTTCAGGTTGAGGAACGGGTGGCGGTGCACGGAGCTCGAGGCTGCAGCGGAGGAGGCGGCCGCCGCCGCCGCCATGTACGTGTAGGGGTAAGGGAACAGGCTTCCGAAAGGCGACATGGCCAGGCCCTGGGGAAGGAAGAGAAACGCACAGGCAGAGTCAGCCCGGTCGGGGCTGCAGGGGAGGGGGGGGTTGCAGAAGCCAACCTCTTCCACCTCCTTTCCTCCACCTGGGGCAAGCCATGAATCCTTTCCTTTTGGGGAGCAGGGACACCACTTAGACTTCCCCAGGTTCACATCTTAGCTGTGTCACCTTAGACAGAGACTTAACCCCCTGTGCCTCAGCCTCTTTACACGACATAAAACAGGGAAGTAGTAATTCACGTAAGCATCGGGAACTTGGTGGATATTAAATGAGCTAATGCCTGCACCACGCTAGCACATGCGCACTGTCAGAGATCCCCCCAAAGGGTAACCGGTGCAACCGGTAAACCGGAACAACCAATCAACCCGCCCCAAAAAAGGGGCCGAAGGAAAAAAAAAAGGCAAAAAGTAAGCAAAAATTTTTTTTTGTCCTTCTTGTCTCTACCTCACCCTACCCCCAAGAAAATCCTCCCACACCCATCCTAGAAGTGAAAAAATCTCAGGGAAGACCTTAAGCAAAAGGAAATGGGGGAGAATACAAGGGCATTTTTTACAAGCAGAGACAAAGAAACGCACCATGTGCCGGTGTTACAGGTGGGAAGCTGAGGCAGGCCCCAGGAGTTCATCAATTCACTGAGCTAGTAACTGGCAGAAACAGAATTTAAGATGTGGGGACCCTGGCCTGGGCCACTTCTCTCTGTACCATGCCTTGAGGCACCACTATTGTTCGTTTGCCCAGGCAGCCCCCGGCCCACCTGTCACCTGCCCACCTAGGACATGGTCACCAGGAGAAGCCAGCAGAGGAGCTGGGAGGAATTGAGAACTGCCAGAAGCCACCCTTTTTGCTCAGCTCCCTCTTTCCCAGCGAGGGGGGGAGGGCAATCCTGCCTCTTGGCACAGGGAAGGGAGACAAATGTGCTTAGACAAAACAAAAGGCAACAGCATGCAGAAAACATCACAGAACCTTTTCACTGGGTTCAGAGCGTTTCTAGCTGCCTGAGACTTCTCCCCGGCCACCCTGTGCTGTCTGAACCCTACACAGACCACCAGGCCTGCCCCAGCCTCCGCTGGTCCCTCTCCTCTGACATTTCCCACGTGTGCACAAACCATTAACCCTGTGAGGAACAGGCTGCCCTGCTTGGGATGGGGGTGGGGAGAAGAGCTTTGAATGCAAGGAGAGGCTGCAAGATGCAAGACTCAACTCCCCACCCAGGAAGTCACTTCACCTTCCCAGGCCTTGGTCTCTCTTTCTGGTCCAATTCCTGCGGGAGGGTTGGCTATGAGACACTTAGGAGACATTTCAGCTCTGAGACTAAAATCCAAAACCCTCAAAGAGGCCCTGAAGTCAATCAGACTGGGATAGTCTCAGCTCCATGAAGTACCAGCTGTGTGACCTTGGGCAAGTTACTCAACATCTCTGGGCCCCTTCCCCTTCATTTGTAAAGTGGCAGTGATAAAAGTGCCACTGAAGGGTTAGACCAGCTGAATCAGAATAGATCGAGCACTGAGAAGAGTACCTGGTCCAAAGTAAGTGCTGTGCATAGCAGTAATCGCTATTACTACCTGCTTACTCTGCTGGAAACAGCCCTGAACTTAGGAAAACATTTTTTAAGTTTTTTTTTGGGGGGGGGCGGAGGAGGTCACAATCCCTTGGTGAGATAAGCCTTGAACCTAGTAAATGGCTTAATAAAATTATTATTAATTATCATTATTATTTAAAGCTGCTAGGCAAGGGGGCTGGGGCGGATCTGGTGTCAAAGGGCAGAGAAACTAGGGGAGGGGGGAGGGGGGCGCGGCAGGAGGGGGGCTGAGTACCTGAGACGCCAGGACGTGCTGCTGGAGGTGGAAGGGCAGGGTGGCCGCAGACGCCCCGGACAGTCCCTGCGCCGCGGCAGAGGCCATGGCGGTGGAATCCAGGCCCGAGACGCCGGTGGAGGCGCCGGACACGGTGGCCAGCAGGGGCCCCATGCCGGCCGTCAAGCTGGAGAAGGCGCTGCCCATGGCGAACTGGCCGGGGTGCAGGAAGAGCGGGTGCCCGTTGAAGAACTGCTGGCCCGCCAGGCCCGGGGCGAAGCCGAGGCCGGGCAGGGGGCCCTGGGCCAGGTGCGCGGCCGCGTCCGTCTGCACGGTGAGCGGCGCGAAGGCCTCCTTGCCCGGCAGCGCGCGCGCCTCCTCCGCCTTGGCGGCCGCCGCCGCGCCCTCGCGGCCCGGGCTCCTGCGCTCCTCCGCGCCCAGGCCGCGGGTGCTGGACGAGATGGTGGCCGGGCTGTGGCGCGAGTCGGGCGACGCCTTGTCCAGCCGCCCGCTGTCGCGGGGCCGGCCGCCGGGCTCCGCCGCCGCGAAGAGGTGCGCCTTGACCGCCGGGCTGCCCTTGTCGCGGCACGGCTCCTCCGACGTGGTGGTGGAGATCTTGCCCGCGTCGCAGGCCTCGGGGCCGTGCTCCTCTTTGCTCTCGGCCTCCGCGTCGCTCTCCCCCTCGCTGGGACATAAATCTATCATAGAAGAGAGAGAAAAAAAAAACAAAAGTGAGGCAGAAGGGCGTTGGCTTCCCTTTGGGCCAGTGGAACTCCAGTCCCTAAGTGTGAATCCCAGCTCGTCGCTTGCTGGCCATGTAACCCCCTTAACCTCTCTGCACCTCAGTTTTCTCATCTGCAAAATGGGGGTAATCATACCTAACAATTTGGCTGGGAGATTAATGAGCTATTAATGAACTTAAAAAGTATTCAGACAGAGTTTAATCCTCCCTGAGATGAATCCTCCCAAATCAGTAGCTCTTCTTATTATATTCCTACTAATATTCCTTATTATTATAAGGAATTCTGTTTATTTTTTTTTTACAAGCATCCATTGGACGCCTGTTATGTCAGACAAAGCCTTTTACATCCTTTTCCCATTCCATTGCAAATTACCTCTTTAAAAATAAAACGAACTTACTTTAAAAGTCACTGGTAGAACATATCCCAATGACTCTCAGTGTCTTTGTTCAGTGAGTGACAGAGATCAGTACCTTCCACAACTTTGTGGATTATTCTGGAAGGATTTGTTTGGAGAGAGCCCTGGCATCTGAATTGGTAATGGCAGAGAGGGACACCCCTCCCTCAAGACATACACCACAACGGCACACTACAGTTGGGCCTTCTGGAGTTTTCCCCAGTCTGTGCAGACAGAGATGGGTGCTGGGCAGGCCCTCTCACTGCCTGGGGACAATTCTAGATTCCTTTTTGCTTTCACCACACCCTCTGTGGGTGTCCTACCAGAAAAAAAGAAAAAAAAAAAAAGGATCCTATTTTATGTTTAAGGCTTAAGTGGATTGAAGACATAAAGGACTTCCATTTTATTTCACTAAAAACAGGTTCCTTCTCGTTGACAGTGTGTGTGTGTCTTTTCAAATAAATAGTGCTTGCTCTTTAAACACAGGAAGCTGAATGGGGATTTGAACCACCTTGTCCACTCCCACCCCCAGACTCCCTCCGCACTGCAGACCCCCAATGCTCCACCTCCTCTCCCAGGTCAAGGGTTGCTCTATAGGTGGATGTTTTCTCAGCCACCTTCCCTGTTCCAGGTAGCAGAGAATCCATCCCTTTCCCCAAGCCCAACACAGTTTAACCTAGAGTTCAAAGATGGTGAAAAGTCAGCAGTTGGAAGACTCTCTGGATTGGAGAGTAGGAGGAGAGGGACAGGAGAGAAAGAAATGCTTCAGGCATGGTTTTCAAAGCTGCCTCAGCCAAGAGGTAAAACAAAATAGATATCCACTCCCCAGCCAAATAAGGATTTGGTGGAAGGGGCTCTGAGCTCTCCTTGTACTACCTTAGGGAGGTGGGGGGTAGGTGGTATACAACTGATAGCCCTTTTTGAACTTTGGCTCTTGTCTAGAAGGGTCTGAAGCTTTTAAAGGACAAGTACCCTAGTCTGTGCCCCGTCCTCCTAACTCTTCCAGGCCACCAAGAGCTGCAGTCCAGTCATCACAGTGGTGACCAGCCCTACCTTTGAGGTTTGATGTCCCTACAGTGGAGACTGCCGGAGAAGAAGCCTGAGCAAAGCAGTTGAAGGCTGCCTGTTCGCTGGAGGACTCATCCGAGGTCCCATTCTCCTTTTTGTGCCTTTCATCAAACACTCTCATGGACTGCAGGGTGAGCTGTTTTCTGTGGCAGAAGCCCACACCCAGCGTTACAGAATGTAGCATACATTTCCCCCTTTGTTTCCCTTGCCCTCTCCAACACGGCATATACACACCTCACCTGCCTGCTCCCCCCTGCCCATGGACAACACTAGTTCTCTGAAATCTGCTTGCCCCAGGGCAGTCACACAAACCCCAGCATTGTTCTGACCCTCCACCTCAGCTGAAGATGGGGCAGAGAGGGGCAGGGAGGAAGGAAGAAGGCTTCAGTGGCATTTCTTCAGTATCAAGGGTTTCACTGGGAAAAGGCATTTGTCTGGGCTGTGAAATCTTATTTCAAAGCAAGAAGAGAGGCTGGAGCTAGCTATGGATAGCTGAACTGCTGGCCTTGAAGAGGGAGAACTGGATGTCCAACCCTGCAAGCACAACATCGACTGATCCCAGCCTACCAGACTCCTGGGTGCTTGCTACAATCTGGAAGAAGTGTCATTTCATGATGCGCTTTACTGTAATTGCTTCACCAACACATTAATTGGAATAAAATTCTGTTTGGATGTTAGAAATTATTTTTTTAATGCCCATCCCAAGGGCATATAGGTTAAAAATTTGGGGTGATTTTCTGGATTTTAGAAATTCTTTGAAAAGGGGTGGGGGAGGGGAGGTTTTATTTCTCCAGCTGTCTACTTAATGCAAAATGATACACATCCCCCATGAAGGAAGGAGTCTTAGATCTCTCAAGGGCCCCCCCTGCTCTGTCTGATGGTATTTGAAAGACAAGATTGCAAAAATTCTAAAGCATTTTGTGAATGATTTGATCCTTTCCTGGGACCTGCCCAGGAGGAACGTAGAATTAAGAAATGCATGGGCATCCCTATATAAACTGTGATTCCCAATGTTTTTCTTCCAGAGACAACTATGGTGTAGCCTAGTTAATTTCCTTAAAGGTAACAAGTGGGAGGTAGAAAAAGTCCAGCGTATGTAGCAGTGGGGAAGTAATTATTACCACCCACTCTTTTCATTATAAGTGGTTGCATCCCATTTCTAATACTTGAGAGTTGGATCCTAGAAAAGTGATTTTTCTAAATTATCTGAGAAATAAATTATTGTTTCAACTCACCGTTTTTCTCTCCTGCCATTTCCAGTGTCCCGGAAACCTTTTGCAAAAGGGTTGTTGTCTATTTTTAACTGAGTTATCTGGAGGAGAAGATACAAACAAGACAGAGACATTGGCTTCATTTTCCAGAATGTTTTGGGAGTGTTGTTCCCAACTCAGTAGACTCTTAGAATGTGACTACCAACAGAAATCATATGGATACACCGGGGAAAGGAGGTAATGGCAGCAGATTGGAGAAAACAGAGAGAAAGAAATCAAAGGAAACTGTACCAGGGCTTGCATCTCCCATATGAGGCCAAGCCAGGAATTCCAGGCTGAAATTACCCAAAGAAATTCTTTTCTTTGGGCAGCCAACAGCTTAGGTTTAGAAATGGAAATGTTTGTCAAAGTTGTCAGGAGGGACAACCTGTAGATCTTAAAATTATGCTTTCATTTTGAGTTTTTTACACAGTGCAATTAATCATAAAATATGTTATGGCATACTCCCCCTGCCTCCAAACACACACACACACACACACAACACCAATCTTTTCCATGAATCTAATAAATGATTTATGGGGCTTTGCTACCCTTGTGCTGGAATGAGTTTGATTTTTTTTGCTGGGTTGGGGGGTGGTTTGAGGAATTACAATACTGACAATTACAGATGTAAAAGGACAGAATGACCACTGGAAACATTTGTTTTCATTTACATGCTCTGCCACCGCCATTAAGTGGGGAAGGCCCATGGCCTCTTTGTCTGATCAAAAATGCTACATTTTATTATTACATTAACAACTTTGTTCCACAGGATTCTGGGTCTAGAGGGAGCGTGCATTTTGCATGCTGAAGAAAAATGCCATAGTATGTAATCTTTCAAATCCCTTCCCCTTGGGGGCAAAATTTTATATATACAGAGTTACTCAGAGGTGGAAAAAGGGGCCCCTTGGTTGGATTCTTGTTCTTGGAATAAATTGCTGTATGCGAGACTTCAGGTTTCACGCTTGGCAGGGAGGGGGGGGTGTCATGATATCTTAGTTCCTAGACTAAAGAAATGTATCTGGAACACCCTCATCATAGGTCTACAAAGGGCCCACTGACAGTGACAGCGAGTTGAAAATGCAGGGTGTCATCAGGTGAACCGGACTCTCACTGAAGGCCAGGAGTCAGAAGTTGAAGGGCAGGGTCCCAGCCACTCCTCCCACCCCCAGAACTGCCTGCTAACTGCCATTCTGGAAACTGGCAAATCAGCTGCAAGGGTCACTTTCTCTCAGTCCATGACCTTCAGGCCACCATAACTCTAGATATCAGGTGCTTTCCTATTTGGGGGTCCTTTTAATCCCCAGCTTTAGGCCTAAGAGAAAAAAAATTTTTTTTTTCAAATGAAATGGTGACTTTGGCCACCCTCACCTCAAAAGCCTCAGACAGCTCCATTAGTAAGACCCTGTGATCAGGGTAGGGTTTTCCAGCCACACACATGCACGCGCACGCGCACACGCACGCACACACACGAACACACACACACACATCATAAAAAACACAGCAGCATAAAAGGTAATAAAAACCAGACCAGCTACTCAGGATTTCTGGCTAGGGGTGAAGAACTAGTCTCCACCAGGATTCTCCTCCCAGGATCCCAAATGGCTTTTGCCTTAAATTTTTAGCTGTTTCCTTTTGAACCTGATTTCTTGATCCTTCTTCCTGAATGGGGAAGAGGATGAGCCTTGAAACAAACAGAGCAGAGCTGGGGTCAGGGGCAGAGAGTGGATGCCACCAGGGACAGTAGCTAGAGGAGCTTCTCAGTGACAAAATTAGTTTGGCATTTTTTTTTTTTTTAACTTAGCATTGGATTCATGGCTGGTTGAGAGACTTCTGCTGCCTCCTTAAGGTGCTGGTGTTCCTCACACCATCTCGATGATGTCCCAAAAATCACAAAAGCAAACTCCAGGCTCTAGTAAGTTTCTCGCGCTGACGCAAAGCAGTTTAAAGGGGAGGCAAAATATCACCATTAAAAAGGAAAGCCCCCTCGGTTACCTTATCATTCTGGTATGCAGTCACAGCGATGAACTCAGTTTCAGGGAATAAGTATGTCCGAAATGTACTATAAGGGAGTTTCAGGATGTCATTGGCTCTGACAATGTGGAACCGGGGCTGGTATTTGTGCATTGAGTTCAATATAGTCTGCAGGGGCAGGGAAGAGACACACATAAAAAAAAAAAAAAAAAGGATTTAGCAGGACAAATGGGATCTTAGGACCCCTGCCAAGCTGACATCTTCCCCACCGCAGGGTACTGCGCTTGTACCACTTTTACCGAGCCCACCTCCTCCTTGGAGTACCTCCTGGGTACATTTTGCTCCACAGATGTTATCTTCTGGAGAATCCAAATTGCTCCTCAATTTCCAAAGGGTCCCCCCCACCCTCACCGTCTAAGGATCATTCGTACCTTGAACCCTAGCCTACCTGAGTACCAAAACTATAATTCCCCTGCCACGTTGCGTGATCACTTGGGAAGGCCAAAGTCTTAAAAGATAGAGAAAAACATGCATTTTAATTTACAAAATGATTCAGTACTTTAAGCGCCCACTAATTGCCGAGCCCAATCCACTTAAAGCCCTGAAAGGCTGAACTCTAGAGAGGAATATTTATGCCTTAATCAAATCAAGGGCTTCAAATGCAATTCCTGCCCGCTGAAGATATTTCCGCGCTATTCACGTCTTCCTGGGCCTAATCTTTCTGCTTATGCCTCGCTTATCACTCTGTTTATTTTATTGAAATGTTGGGGAGGGGTAGAGAAAGGGGCAAAAGGTCCCTTGCCTGACTTGTACAAGCAATCTAAGTCTTCCAAAAGTTTCTAAGCCCTCTCTTACTGAATCCATATAGACACTTCCAACACACACAAACACACACACCATTTTTTTTTTTTTACCGGAGATCTAAGCCTCGTTTCTAGTAAACCTGACTTTCACCTAAGTCCAATCAATTGTTTCTCAGTAAAAGAAAATAAGTTTAAAAAAAAAATACATTCACACCATGTAACCAACATTGTCAAGGCTGAGAGAAACTTAAAACTTTCCCAAGAAATAATATGGCTGGTTTCAAAACAGAAGTATAATGTTTTAAACCAAAACAAATCCTTTATGAACACATAGCTTTGAAATTGATTTTAGATAGTAATGATCGGTTTTGAACTGCACTGTCAGGTCAGGTATCTACCAAGGAGCTGGAATTGTTAGAGAACACAGAGCTGCTAAGTTTTCCTGCCCCTATTTCTTTTAGAACGCCAGGCCTTCCATTATCCGGGAGAGACACCCCAGAATCCTCTCCTCTCTCCGGCTCTGTTGCAGATCGGATAAGGAAGAAGCAAGGGAGAGGTCTGGGCCGGAAACACGAGAAATAGGGAAGCACTGCCTTTGGTGAAGAAAAAGAAGATTTAACTGAAAGGAGCAATGAAACTTACAAATCCATGTTTGTCCGAAATGTTGTTGGTGAGTTTCAGTTTGTGGAAAGTGACGACTTTAGACATCCACTGCTCCCCCGTAGCGGGGCTGTCCGGGTGAATGTACATTCTCTTTGGCATTTCAGGGTCAGCTTTACCTGCCACCATCCACCGAGAATTGTGAAACTTATATCGGCAGTCATCGGCAGCTATAATGTCCATTAGTAAAATGTATTTGGCTTTTTTATCCAGTCCAGAACACCTCACTTTAAACGGAGGAAACATTCGCCTACAATAAGGAAGAATAGAAGAAAAAGAAAGAAAGGAAGATAAATCATGCAGAAGCTTAGGTTTGATTTCCTATCTATCCTCAAACACTTAAACCAAACTGAAGACTTTCTATCGTGACTGACGAGCTTATATTTTTCAGAGCAGGGCAACTGGTTGTAAAATTTTCTTCCACAACTAAAGTATTAAATATGCTCGATTTCTCTGTATTTAGATGTCCCAAGATTCAAGACAAATGAATTGTGCCACTGCATTTCTCTACATTGTCTAATCATTCTTTCAAAAAAAAATTTTTTTTTCCTCTCTCTGGCTTTACAGATAGCCCTCTTTACAGAAAATTCACGCCCATGTCTTTTTCTGTGGGTATCTAGTTCTAAACAGCTTGGGGTAGGATTGTGGTAAAGTGCGGACAGTCAAGACTAGGATTTCCCACCACCCACTGATGAGAAAATGTTAAACTTATCACGAAAATAAACATCAAGTTGCATGCACCCCCCTCCCTGCAGCAGAACAGCAATCCCACAGTTGGAGAAATGAAACTGGACTTAAGCGAGTTTTCAGAATGAATTTTGAGGATTGGGGTGGACTCCCAGGCCTGATAACCCATCTGCCCATGGAGCTGCTAGCCACGTTCCCCTACTCCTTACGCCAATCCCAAACTGCAGGATTGTGCGGCCAAATTGCTGTTAATTTCACAGAAGTGTTGGCATTCTGTACTCTTGACTTAAAAGGAAACACTTCACTGGGAAACTAACTAAATGTCTTGTGGGTTGGAGGAGGATTTTATGCCAAACTTTGGCCCCATTTAGCTTGGAAGGAGACAGAAAGCTGAAGACATCAAGAGGAGGGTTTTATTTTTATCCGTTCAACTTTGTGCCTTTATAGACTTCAGTGCCATTTAAAAAAAAAATAAATCAGTGATTTTGTTACAGGGTCCTCTCTTCCAGGCAGTTTTCGGTCAGGCAAAGACTTTTAAACATTACGTAAAATAGGGTTTATAATATTCACACATTAAAAAAGCAATGCTATGTCTGCTCACTGCCTCCTGAGGTCTGCAAACATAATCTTAATTATCCAAAATTGCCTGCTGAACTCTCCCTCGGGTTACAGACACACGTGAAGCGGTGTGGGCAAACAAACCCAAACGTCCTTCGATTTCTCTCTGTCCCTGGCAGCGGTGGGCTCAGGCCCCCTCCAGACCTGGAGGCTAGGCTGAAGGGCAGAAAAGGCCTCCCACCACTATCACGAAAGAAAAGGGTTTTTAAGTTTTTCTCTCTGTGTGCAAAATAAAACAGACAAAAACACATCAACCAAGAAATGAGGATATTCCAGAAAGGTCTGAAGAGTGAACTTCTTGCAGCGGGGTGCTTTTCTTGCTTCCTGCGGGAATGTCTGTGCACCACTGAAAAATTCTAGTACTGTTCTGTAGGGAACCCAGGACGTGGTCCCATGGACACTTGTGCAGACGCCCAGGTAAGCTGGAATTTTCTGCCACTGGAGCAAGGCCTGGGAGAGTCTCTGTACACATTTCTAGGGGAACTAAGTTTTCGTCCAAGCCGTAGGAACCCGCCAACCGACTGCTCTGGGAGGAGAGAGATAAAGGGAGGGAAACCCTTCCAATAGTTGGGGGGAGGGGTCCCCATTCCCTTGCTTACCTTCCCGACTTGGTAATGACCATCTCCGTGCCCCGCTTGTGAAACTGATCCCAAAGTTCTTTAGCCTCCAGATGCACCTTGGGGTCATCCTCCACTTCTTCTTCGGGCTCCATGGTCTTCAGAGGCCTCAGATGCGCCTGGGGCCCCAGGGATGAGAACGGGATGCCGGTTTCCGCCGCCCCCACCAACTGATCCATGATCGGCTTGGCCAGGGCGCCGGGCAGCGAGAGCGCCGCCGCGCCGTTGGGAGGCAGCGTCAGCGCAGGGAAGAAGGGCGGCTGGTGACCCAGCACCGCGCTCATGGCGAAGTCCGGCGCCCGGTGAGGTAGGAACGGATGGTAGGCCATGCTTGTCCCAGGAATGACCGGATCTCTCATGGAGAGGCTCATCCACTCCAGGCGGGGCGCCGGGCTCCAGCCGGGGACAAGTCCGCAGCTGCTGTCTTTGGCTTTTGGGGTTTTTTTTTTTTTTGGTTTGTTTGTTTGTTTACCAGCCGCACATAGTTCAAAAGAAAAAGAGGGAGTAAAAAAAAGAAGCAAGCACAACTAAAGCACTTCAAAGGGAGGGGGGAGAAGTGTCTTTTGGGGAGGAGAATGCCGCTTTTAAAGAGGGCAAGGCGAAAAATCAGGAGACATAGTCGCTCGGGTTCTCGTGCCTTGCGTTTTCAAAAAGCCGCTCCTGAAAGTGGGTTTCAGAAGCGAGAGCAGCGAGCAGGCTCTCGACTCGCGCCGGAGCCCCAGCCGCTGAGCTCGAAATAGACACTCCAGCCCTGCGTCCCGGGAATCCCTCCCCAGTCCCTAGGTTCTTTGTTGCAAATGCGAACGGTTCTCCTAGACTTTTTACCTTCCCTTTTTCTTCTTCCCCCGCCTCCCTATCTCTTCCTCCCTCTCTTCCTCGCTGGAGGCGTCTGCAGTTGCGCTAGACCCGGCTTGCACCGGGGGCGAGAGAGCGGAAAAGTCACTCTTAAAAAACAAAACAAAACAAAACAAAACAATTCTGATTTAAACCCCCTCCGACCGGCGCTATCAAAACTTGAACTGCAAACTGGCTTCCGTTCGCCCTCCTCCTCCTCCTCCTTCCTCCACTCCGAGCCTCCGGAGGGTGCCTGGGTTTCAATCCGAATCTTGCAGAGAGCTCTTCTCCCGTGCCTCTCTTCCTTGTCCTAAAACGTGAGCCAATTCGCTTCCTAAATCTGCGTCCAGGCGCGCCGGGCAGGGAGGATTTAGAGGGGGAAAATGGAAAGGAGAGAGAGAGAGAAAGAGAGAGAGAGAGAGAGTCGGAGTAGGAGAGGGAGGGAGCGAGAGAAAGCGAGAGCTCCTCGCCACCCTCCTCCGCCTCTAGAATTCCCCGGGCGTCTGCTCGGCGGCTCTAGAAGGTCGGGCTGCGCTGTGGGCTGCGGGGAGCCGGAGGCCTCTTGATTGGCTCTTTGACGCTTTCGGACCAATTGTGTTGCTGCATAGGCGTGGTTTTCACAGGTCGAGTGCTGCGGGATAGAGCCGAGTTATAAAAAGAAGGTGTCGGAAACTGTAACGTCGCAGCGCCGCATCGGTACTACTGCCTGTCCTGTGAATATGTCAACATGATCAGAGGGAGGGCGGGAGCCACTGGGGAGCGCGCGCACAGAGTCGCCTCTAGGTGGCTTATCGAGAGATCGCTGCAGCCGCAGAGCTCGCTCGCTCGCTCTCGTTCAGCCCACGTCTGAAATGCCCCAGTCATCCAGCCGGGGATCGGGGGAGGAGGCAGGGCCGGGAAGGAAGGGGGAGGGCGAGAGGGAGGGAGCGAGCGAGCGAGCGGGCCGAGGAAGGCGGAGAGCGCGCCCGGGCGCCGGGCAGGGGCGCTCGCCTCTCGCGCGCTTGGCTCGCCTCTCCGACAGCCGTGGCCGGTTCTCTCTCCAGCTCTTCCTCTTTCCCCGGTCCCCAGGCGAGCCGGGCGGGCGCCTGAACCTCCTGCGAGCTGCCATTCGGCCGCTCGGCGCAACAAAAGCCGGCGGCGGCAGAGAGGCAAGCGCCAAGACTCCAGGCTTGCGCGCTCTCCGGCCCCACGTGGAGCCAAGCTCCGCCCGGCCGCAGCTAAAGGGCTCTCGAGTTCGGGTGTCTCGGCGCTGTTCTCCCTTGCGGTTGGGCTCGCGGACACAGAAGCACACGGATGCAGCCGCATCTCAGCACACGCGTGTGTGGGCTCCCTCTCCACCGCGCCCCACCCGCAGCCGTGCATGGAGACCCAAACACCCCCAGTGCGTTTGTCCCCGACCGCGCGCCAACGTACTGGACCCAGCCGCGCATCGAAAAACACGTACACACAAACACGTACACAGCCTGCACGGCCTTCCCTGTCCGCGCTCCTGGGGGAGACCGACTCGGATTTTTATGAAGCACATCTACCAACCCTTTTAGATCTCGTCTTCCATTTGGATGCGGACCCTCATTTTCCACCTGAATGTGTGTGTGGGTTAGAGGGGAGAAATGGAAGATCTGAACAAAGTGAACACAGCGGAAGATCGAGGTTCGGGGCCTGTGCCATCCAAGCCGCTGTCCTCACCTCTGGGGCCGGCTGGGTGGGCGCTGCGGGTACGGGTACGGGGTGGGCGAGCCGGTCGGGGGAGATGCGCCAGCCTGGTATCTCCTCCAGGCATCGCACTTATCTCTGGGGGCCTCAGTTCTTTCTTTACCCCCGGGACTTATCTCGCCAGAAGTGGGGGGCGAATTTGTAAAACAAACCGTGAAATGCCCCCACCCCAGAGGCGAGAAGACTGGTGTCAGTACAGGTAGGGTGGGGGCCTCAGCGGAGGCCGGAGGGGAGGGAGACAGCTGGATCTTACTTACCGATGGCGGCGTTGGTAACCCTGTTACCGCAGCTCCCTGTAGGGGTCAGAGGGTGCCCCCAAACCCACAGTTCCTCATGGGGGCGGGGAGGGCGCTAGGAGTTGGGCCGTCCTTGCTTATAGGGTAGGAAATCTTGAGGGTGTTATTTTACCTTTCCTGAGATGGGAGCTTCTTGGACGGAAAGGGAAGGGAGAAAGAGCTGCTTTCGGGCCCTAGGGGGGTTAAGAAACCCACGGCTTCGGATGTGTGTGTGTGTGTGTTTGTGTGTTTGTGTGTGTGTGTGTGTGTGTGTGTAGGCCGGCACAGGCCTCTCTCGCATTTGGCCTGTGCACCCCATAAACCCCCGGCTCCTAGATCCGAAGCGGCGGCGAGTGAAGGGTGAATGCGCGGTGCCATTGTGGGCCAACTGCGCGGAGATAGGGGAGGAACTTTTGAGGCGACAAGCTTTTCCAGCCTCGCATTTTTGACGCACATGGTTAAGAGAGCCTGGCGCCAGCATTGAGAATTCCCTGAAGTCACCAGAGAGAATAGAGTGGCTCTGCGCTCTCGCTCTGGCGCTCCATCTCGCCCCTTCCTTTCCCTTTGGGTCTTTCTCTGGCGTCCTCTGTGTCTCCCTCAGTGGTTAAGAAGAGAGACAGAGAGAGAAAAGAAAGAGGTGGCAGGGGCCCAAAGAGTTGGCTCACAACGCCCCCGCCCGCGGCCCCTGCGGCCCCATCGTGAAGAGCGCGAGAGAGGCCAGGCCTTCCCCTCCTCCAGCCGGTCGCGGAGGTCACTGCAGGGTTTCATGAGTCTCTGGAGGCAACGAGCACCCCCTCCCCCGCGTCGCTCCCCTTCGGGGCCCTGGGGCCGCTCCGCTGCGCCTTCGAGTGGCCCCAAATCCCCGAGATCTGGTTCTGCTCGCACCCGCAGACCAATCTCTGTCCTGCCGCTTCGAGCGCGGGGAAAGTGGTTCTGCAACGACACTATGACTGACCCCCTCCTCACTCCCTCGGTGCCCCAAGCATCCACGCACTCAGCAGAGAGACGAGTCTACCCCATCCTCCCCGGTCTGGCCTCAGGTCCGCTTTGGAAATGGGAGGGGAGCTTGCTGATTTTACTTGTAAATATCTCGACTGGTTCTGGCCCGGACGGAGAGGCAGTTCTGCCCCTCACGCTGGTTCCCTCCCTCAGTTGCCTAGTTTTGCCCGAAGGTCTGACTTAACCCTGGGGTCACCCCAGTTTGCCATTTCTGACCCCCACTCCCCCCCCCGCCCCCGCAATCCCCAGCGCGCGAAGGAGAGGGGGAGAGGAAAGTTTGCGGGGTTCCGAGTCGAAAAATGTCGACATCTTGCTAATGGTCTGCAAACTTCCGCCAATTATGACTGACCTCCCAGACTGGGCCCCAGGAGGCTCGTATTATGCAGGGAGGCCGCCGTAATTCTGGGATCAAAAGCGGGAAGGTGCGAACTCCTCTTTGTCTCTGCGTGCCCGCCGCGCCCCCCTCCCGGTGGGTGATAAACCCACTCTGGCGCCGGCCGTGCGCTGGGTGATTAATTTGCGAACAAACAAAAGCAGCCTGGTGGCCGCAGCGTTCGGGTTAAACATTGGCCAGCTAGTTCCGAAGACTTGTGCCGGGCCCTGGCCTCCGGGAGAACCCACCGGGCCGGCGCGCCCGGGCCCCGGCTTCAGGCTCCAGCCGCGGGCTCCTTTTCTCCGCAGACTCCTCGATCCTCTCTCCTTCGGCCTCATGCGCAACAAAAGACGCAGGGGGGACGTTGAACGAGCCTGGCGCTCACTGGAGCCCGGGAAGAGGGTGCCTTAAGGGCGGGAGAAAGGAAAAGGGAGCACAAATACCAGGTCACAAAGAAAACCCATGGATCTCCTGGTGTCGCCGAATTCCAAAAGGACTGTTTCACTTATTGGTAGACCTAGAATTAAAAATATATATAAAGACATTTTTTACACCCTCTCTTATCGGTCATGTCTGCAGCTTGTAAGGCGGTAGTGTGTGTGAGTGTAAGCGAGTGTTTTAACCTTTAAGGTGGGGGGGGGGACAGAGGACCCAGAAAATACAGTTTGTATGTAGGGGCGGGGGAGCAAAACAAATCAACTATCCGCAGCCAGGCCGCCGATGCAGCAGAGAAGCTTTCTCTAGCCTTGCGGGAGAAAGGCCCCAAGCCTCAGAGCTGCCTCACTTTTCCCTGCGGCACCGCTTGCCTCAACTATAAAGGGGACAGGGCGACCCTTTTGTGATGGAATGGTGTTTATCTGAAGTTTACAAAAAAGGGAGGAGGAGGGGGCGAGGATGGTGGGTAGGCGGGGCAGTTTACTTTGGCAAGTTCGCTGTAAATATTTCCTTCAGCGCGTGTGAGGTCTGGCGAGGGTCTATTACGCACTTATTCCCTCTTAAACTTTCACCCCGATTTGCCGCCGAGCTCTTCGCGGTCCGAGGTGTCGCTAAATTGGGGACGCTGTTGACATAAGGGCATCCGTGTTTCTGCCGGGGGTCTGAGGCCTAATTAAGACGTTTCCTACAGGAGTCGGTCAATATATAAACTTTTCCTGGGGAGGGGCTTTCTGGTGGCCTGGCAGTGCAGAAATGGCTTCCCGTGTCTGCCCTATGCCCCGGCCCATTGGATCCTCGGATCCCCGCCTCTTTGGAAACCCACAAGCTTTGAAACTGACTAGGTGTCCGCTTCAGGGTTCCCATCCTCTTTGGGGCTCAAAGCTCCCAAGCGGGGAAATAATGTAGTTATCGAGGATCCCAGAGGAGCAGCTCCCTGGGGAGGGCCTAGCTGTTCCTTACTGTTCCTGGGTCCTGCGGAAAATCGCCCTAGCATCCCCCACCCCTCGCGCTTCCGCGCGCGCCCGCACAAACGTGGGCGCTCCTGTGCCACCCTGGCTTTCCCTCGTGCTGTGCCGAGCCCAGTGCGGCTTACTCTTCCTCCCGGCCCCTCGCACTCGCCGCCCACCCCCACCCCACCCCGCTCCCTAAGGTTTGCTTAGCTCTTTTCCTGTCCGGAGGCTGCAGCTTGGTCCCTTCCAGAGGGGGTCAGCGCCCCTACCTTTCCTCCCTCCAGGGCAGACACCAGCCTAGTGGGTGGACCAGACAGAGCAGGGCATCCACTTTCTGTTTCTCTTTTTGTTTCTTTCTCTTTTTCCCTCCTTTTTCTTTTGTGTCTCTGTCTCTCCGTTCATCTCCATTCCGGAGTCTCTGAATGCAGGTCTGGGACCTTTCTTACCGTTTTCCCTTCTCCTTTCCCTTGCATCTGTCTCCTTCTTGGTATCTATTTCTCCTTCTTGTCTCTCTCTACCCCCCACTCCCAGCCTTTACCTTCTCATGCTGTCCTTTCTGTTTTTCTTCCCCTCCCCATCTCCCCTATCCCCTCTTTCTCTCTGTTTTCTCTGGCTGTCTTAAATCTCTGCATTTACTCCTGCCTCTCTGGCTCAGGGCCTGTGTATCATCGCCTCTCCCTCGATCATCTTTTCCAGTACCCGTGACAGGCTGGAGACCCCCTCTTCCTGAGGCTCAAGCAGACACGTTGCCCTCACTTCCTGGATGACAAAGATAAAGTGGTCTTGAGAGATAGAAAAGAGATGGGCCCACTTGTCTAGATTGGAAAGTTCACCTTCTCCTCTTGGCATTTCCAAAGTCACCCCTTTCACTAGAGTTGACCCCAATCCCTGTCCCTTATGCTCTCAGATCCTGAGAATGTCTCTCTCTCTCTCTCTCTCTCTGTCTCCCTCTTGCTTCCCTTTCCAGGACAGAAGTCCAAGGTGAGGGGCTGCACGTGGAGCTCCAAAGCCCTCAGCTCCTAGCTCCTTTCCTGCCCCCACAGCACAGAGCCTTCCTGTAACGCATATTCCCCTGTCCTCTGACATCCCTCTAAATTATTGATCAGGGCA